GGAGGGAAAATTTAAAAAAAAGGGGAAAGGGGGGGGGGGAGGGGGTTTAAAATGGAAAAAGTGGGGATAGGGTTGAGGATATTTTTTAATAAAAAAAAAAGAAAAAAAAGTGGGGGGGGGAAAAAAATTTTTTTGGGGGGGTTTTTTTTTTTTTTTATGAAAAGAGATTTTGGGTGGGGTTTATAAAAATTTGGTTTTTTTTTAAAAAGGGGGAATTTTTTTGTTATTGTGGGGGGGAAAAAATAAAAAAATGGAAGAAAAAATTTGGGGGGGGGGGGGGGGGGGGGGGGGGGGGGGCAGTCGTGCGTTCTGTCTCGTCTTTAAAGGGTGCACGTTTTTACGGCATCGCTTTTATGATCATTTGTCGTTTTCAAAGGTGCTTGTCTTGTCTTTGTCTTGTTTCATCCTTAATTCTTTAGTGTCTTATCTTATCAGGGAGGTAGGTCCACACAATTTCAGCAGGCATGGGGGTGGTAGGTAGTGGTGGTGGTGGCGGGAAGGGTGTGCTTGCACACGGTGTACCGACTGCTCCCCGCGCGACATGCGTGTGGGTAGAGAGGCCATGCGGAACACGCGCACGAGAGCGTTGGAGGGTAAACGTGGGTTTTGATTAATGATGGGATTTTCCGCCCCCCGTGCAGGGTGGGATAGTAGTGGGAGGTGTTGAGCGAAAAGCGGGCACGACCGGCGGCACGTTGTTTGCTTTTTTTCGCTGCTGTTGCTGCTTCTACTGGTCAGTTGATTTTTTCATCATAGCTAGCACTGGCACTGCAACAACCAGGTCAAGCTGGTCACATGTTATTCGCTAACAACGGCGGCCCGTTCGTGTTCCCTGCCTCCCTGTGAGCTGATTTTTTTTTGTCTGTTGGGTGTATGTTATCTGGATCAAGCTTAAAGCCAACTCCGATTTCCACATGGAGCGGGTTAGCCATAATCCGGAGACTTGTGTACATATTCTATAGAAGCTAATGCTGCTGCTGCTGCTGCTGCACGTGATAGACGTGCTCGTTGCACAGTAGGGTATCTTGAAGGTGGAGGAAGAAGGTAGAGCGTTCGGAGGAAGGTGCTGCATTGACCAGACTTACCAACCTACTTGCTAAGTTTTTCACGTGAAAAAAAACGTGAATAGTGAAGCTGGGTTTGAGGTTTTGCGGCCGACAGAGACGGAGAGGGTAGTTAACTTGCGCGAGGCTCCGTGAGACGACCAGAGCCTGTTTTATCTGCAAGCTTTCAACTGCTGCTGTTGTAGTCGGTTTTTCAGGATTGGTTGCGAGCGCGTTCGTGCGGTCCGAGTTGGTCAGAATTTTTTTGTTTCGTGTACATCAGTGCTTGCGTGTTTTGCGGGAGGTTCAGGTGCTAATTCCGGTGTGATGTGTATGTGTACTCACTGCCCCCCCCCCCCCCCCCCCGCACGCGCCCGGGCCCCCCTTGTTCCAAAACTTTGCCCCCCAAACTGGGTTTTCGGGGGAAGCCCGGTTGGGCCTTTTTTAAAGGGGGGGGGGGGGTTGG